TGTAAAATTTTAAAGATAAGAAATAAATACCACGAGTTTTATATATAATTTATAATTTGTACCCCCTACCCTTAAGATTAATTTTTTTTTATAATAGTACTAAAATTTTTTATAATAATATTAATTTTAAAATAAAAAAACTTTATAATAAATAAATGTTTTTAAAAACTTAAAATTATAGAAAGATTTTTTAAATATTAATTATATTATTTTTAGTTATTTTGTTTAAAGATTTTTGAAGATTTTTTGATATGATTAGATATCGCGTACCATATAAACACATCATATTTACAAAACTCTAATTTATATATGAAATTTATATTATATTATATTAAGATTATTCTCTAATTAACAAGTAAATTATTAGAGTATACATAATTTTTTTATTAAAATCTAAAAGTTTAACTAAATGTTTAACAAACTTTTATACTGATTTGTAATTTATTTATCTTCAACAATCTAAAATTAAAAAATTAAAAACAAAATTTTTTATTAAATCTAGATTCTTTATTTTTTTAATTAGCTTTAATTCCAATCTATTTTATAAAAAGCACTTTCTAGTAAATATCCAGATATTATAAATAAATATTCTTACTTCAATAATTAAACTTGCAGTATTTCTTATTTACTACTTCAAAAAAATTAAACCTGTACAAATAAAATCTTGAACTTTAGAGTAAAAAATTACAATATTCATGTTCAATTTTATTTTGTATAAATTAAAAAAGATTTTTTATATAGAAAAAAAGCGCAAAGCTCAAAGAATAAACTTGTCTAAAATCTAAATATTAACTATGGTTTTGTCATCAAGATATCCTTCAAAAAAAGTCACGACTACTTATATTCACAAAAATCTACTTAATGAAAATCAACGAATAGGACATGTCCCTTGACTTTTATAGTTAAAATTTAATATTAGCTCAATTTTTTTGGCCATTGACCGGCCAAATAAGCAACAACCAATGGCCAATAATCAAACTTCAGCCAAAATTTTCTAACTTATATAATATTAATCAATCATATTACTAGCTTTTCTATATGGCCAAATAATTTTTTTTTGTTCAATTTGGTCATTGGCTGCGGCCATCTGCCAGCATAATGGCAAAGTGACAACACTTTGTTAGAACTTCTTTCTAATATCAAAAAAAAAAAAATTTTAAATTTCCAGTTGCAACTTGCCACTAAAATTGCCATATCTTCCAATTCCATTTAGATAGTTTCCAGTATTCCTTTCAATTCAGCAATCTCACTAGAACGTTCCAGTGGCAATACTGCTACAATAGTTAATTATTAAAAAAAATACAATTTTTTTTTAAAAAAAATTTAATTTTAAAAATCGTTAATACATTGTTACTTCAAATAGTTGCTGTAATAAACTACATACATCACTTTGGCACACTATTCTTAAAATCATTTATATATATGTATATTTATTAGCTGTCATAATAAGAACCAAATATCACTTAATAAAATAGAAATATCTTGCCACTGTGAAACGTGCTGAAAAAGTAAACTTAATCAATCTTTGGCGACGCTTCGCTAATCCCATTCAGATATGTAGCCAGTGGTTGCGACATCGCAGTCACAGGTCTGCCACTAAATAATGCTTCCGTAACAATATCGGCAGTTACTTGGGACAACCTACAATTGAACACATCCAAGTTAATTATGATATCTCTTCAATATATAAAATATGAGTGATACCAAAGGAAAACCAGACTTCGATAATTATTTATTATTTATCAGATCCAGCTCTCACGGCAACATATATGACACGTAATTAAATTTACTTACGTATCATATATATCTCTGATCGGGGCTGAGTCTAGTAAATAATAATTAATAAACTTAAAGTCCGATGCCTAGTTTTCCCTTGGCATCACCCATATATGACATTACTGACCATTCTTTCTGCTCTGTGGTAAGCTTTGGCACTTCTGAATTGTTGGTCAAAGCTTTTATACCGTCAAAATGTACTTCAACACGAGATTTATATTTAAGAAAGTGACCTCCAGCCTGATTGAGACATTGCTAAAGACGATAAAAATGTCAACGAAATGAATTCTATAATAACATATAGGTTGGCAATTGGACTAGTAAAGTAGTGAAATAGTTCAATTAGTCCAATTGCCTAACCCTGAAAAATACACATGATCATTATACATACATATAGAAGTGCAATCTGATGCGCCATATATTTGTGATTTGGAAGTTTTATATCTTGTTGGAGTTGGAGTGAAATAGAAACCAATTGATTGAGCACGTTCATCTCGTTAAAATGTGCTATGTTCAAAATTTGTTTTATAGGTTGCAAAAGGAAATACGGAATAGTTATATTACGATGTAGCGTTTTCCCAATAGGAGCACATCAGTGGAAATGCCACGCGAATGTATTAACAATGGTATAATTCAACTTTACCCAACGCATCAACTTTTCCAGAAGGAATGTTATTGACGACTAGTCGCTTTGCTGACTTCGGGAAGAGTACAGAAAGTCCCAATTCTGACAGGTAAGTCTACAAGCAGGTGTAAAGAATCACTCAGTATACATACCGAGGATTCAGAGTTCAGTATGTATTACATTATTTCGTTCACCTGAATGTCTTTTTTTTGTATCCCATCCTCTTCAAACTGTAATAGAGAAGTCTCCAAAACATTTAGTGCAGCTTCGATTTCTGTCTTGCTATATTGTTGCTAAAAAAAGATGACGTCAGAACTTAAAGTAGATAATTCCCGCAACAAAATAGGGTAATTTTCTGAATATGTCGACGCTCAGAACAAACCCGGGTATTTCATGAAACCGAAAATCGTTCAGAGTGAGCTTTGCTACTCCTACCGAAGACGTAATCCGATATGATACATATCAAATATTACTAATTACAGAATGCTACGTATATAGACAGCACCGAGGACGGTTATTTAATTATATTTTTTGCCTCAAAACGAAGTTCTAAGTACTTGGTTCTATCAAATATTACCCTTGTAAACAAAACAAGTTATTGGCACA